ATAACACGATCATTCGATTCGGTTTTCGACCAAATGCATTTTAAGTTACTGTTGAAGTACTAACGAAATCAATAACTTCATGAAAAAAAGTTTTATAAAAAAAAAAAAATTTTCATCAGAAGGCATCACTAAAGAAAACAAAGTTATAGCTGACCTATCACAAAGTTCGGTAACAGTGAATTTAGGCAAAAGAGGATGATCAGCCAATAAAGCAGCTGTATTAATTTGCAATCGTGGATTTCCCAAAATTTGATCACTTCTGAAAAAAATTCATGATTACGAATGTGTTTTAAGGATAGAAAATGAGAATAAAGAAAACAACTGAAACTTACGCGTAAGAATTAACCCAACTAAGCAGTTGCACAAGTTCATTTTTTTCTAGTTTATCTGAAGCGATTTCACGAAGCTGAAAAAAAAAATAGAATTTGTTTAGTTTGAACTTTTTTCTTTCTAGCAAAATCACCAAATCACTTCAATTAAACTTCCCATTTAATTAATTTATACTTTTTAATTCTTGATAATATTATAAAATAAAAAGCACTTACTGTATAAGGTAAAAATAACACAGTTGCGGGATAAAAGGTGGAAAAAGAATAGTTTTAAATAAATAGAATTTAAAAGAGACAAAAGTAAAAAACGAACACGTCCCGACAAAAGATTATGATACATGGATACAAAACGGTCATATATTTCGTAAGATGGCGGAAAACATGGTGAGGCCGCACTTTTCGCTACCAATAAATCATCCACTAATACGAGGCGACAAACTTCTAAATATCTGAAATTAGTTTTTTATAAATGAAATAGTTATCTGACACATCTAAAACACTGCGTAACTATAATGTCCAATCAAAAATTTAGTGAATCAAGGTATTTAATCTAGAATAATAAAAAAAGGAAATTATTTGACATTTGAAGGCAAACAAAATAATGATTAAAACTTCTAAAAATTATAACTCTCAGAATAAAACAGAAAATGATAAGTGAAATCCATTATTCTCGAATAATCCGATCTCAATTTAAAAGAAAAAAAAATACCTAGCAAGCCATTGTTTGTTAAGAGATCGGTCTTCTAACTGATTACCTTCGATTCGCTGTTTAACGGTACTAGCAATTACTTCTAGACATTTCTGACGCCATTTACGGGGTCTACCAGGTGGCATAAAATCATTGGTAGATGACTGTCGATCAATATAATACTGATCGATCCTAAAACTATTTCAGAAAATAATGCGAAATAACGAGAACGCAATGAAGAAAAAAAAATTTTACTAGAAACCACTACTGTGATTAGCAATATCAGGAAATTATTTGACATTTGAAGGCAAACAAAATATTGATTAAAATTCTAAAAATTATAACTCTCAGAATAAAACAGAAAATGATAAATAAAACCCATTATTCTGGAATAATCCGATCCCAATTTAAAAGAAAAAAAATACCTAGAAAAAAAAAAAAGATATTAGAAATAATGAGCTCATTTTGCAAAGCGATTACTTCATAATCAACAAAAGATATAGATAAATTTTAATAGACAGAATCCTGGTGATCTTATTAGAAGTAACTATTTCTAACTCAAACAAAAATTTAAATTAGAAATAAGAACCAATGCTTCAGATACCTCTCCTCGCGTTCAATAATACGAAGAGCAGTAACTAATTGCGTCGGGCCCTGTTCGGTGCCACGTACTGCTTCTAGGCAACGAGAACAGATGTACCATAACTGTTTCGCAAGTTCTTGGATCACTTTATCAAGATCCGAAAAATATGTCTTTAACAACTGAAAAAACGAATCTTTTTTTCTTTTTCTAGTAATAATTTTTGAAAAAAAAAAACATATAAATTGAAAATAAAGAGATATTTCCATCATTCTATTAACAAGTAAATTTCTTCTTACTTACTCCATCTATACCATAACCAACATTTCTCATACACTTAAAAATAAAAGATAAAAACAGATTCCTATAATTACTAATAAGAAATTTCAGATCAAAAACATGCATTTTTCTCATAGTTAACATTGCTCTGTTGCAACTTATGCACTTCGTACATTAAATCATCACGTGCATGCTCCATTTCCATAATGCTGTAAAAAAAATTTTTTGCTTTTCTCGATCATGGTGATCAGTACTAACTAATTGCTGCGAAGTGAGAAAAATAGAAAATACAAGAAAAAGTAAATGGTACATTAATTGTATATTAATTCTAATAAGGAATTATAATGCTTCTGTTAAATATTCTTAATTAACTATGAAGAAAAAAAATGAAAAAGAATGTGTTCACTAATCTATTAACTTTTTATGTGCCAGAAGCAATTTTCCATCCTGGACATATTCGCGTGTTTTTTCGATTGTTTCATTAATTTCGTAAATATGTTGTAAATGTCCTATTGAAGTTGCATATTGACTATTTTTCACATTTGCTTCGCGTAATTTTGCCATTTTCTGCTTTAACTCAGGAAATGCCAGTAATGTTGTATAAATTTCCTGCAAACTATAAACACAGAAGAAGTTTTAACAGAAATATGTTTGAAGATAATGAAAACAATATTAAACTCAAACTAAAAAACTAACATAAAATTCAAACATAATAGTTTTTTTTTTCGCATACATACTTTAATTTTTTAAATCAACACCACTTAGCTAATTGGCGCAATATGATACCCCACTGCATATCAAAATATGATAAGAGGCAAATGTACACTAAACATAACATAAACAAGGTAGTAGGATAGCAAAACACATTAACTAGGAGTTCAATCGAAATAAGCAAAACCAAATAATAATGTTTCGATTTTAAACGAAGAAGAAAAAAAAACTCTAAGTTGACGAAACAAATCTAATAGCGGTAACAAGTACATACAAAAATCATCTCTTTTCATAATGAAAAAAGTTTTCGTTCCAGAAAAAAGAAATGTAACACTTCAAAGTGGAAAGTTTTTGAACCTGAAGTAAATGATCTCACCTTGTTTCAACTTCTTTAATATCTTCAACACTTGTGGATAAATGCCCTATAGCTGTTCGTATGCCTTCTAACTGAGACTGTACGCCCGTTCGAAGCATTGCTTCTACAGCAGTCTGAAATATTTTTCATTTTATTTTATTTTTTCTCCAATTTTATGAACCTAATTGCTAATGAAAGAAATAATAAGTGCCACAAGTTGTAGAATGACTATTTGAAAAAAAAAAGAAAAGCGGAAATGTCTATAGAATCATTGACATAAAACTCTATCACTGATTAAAGTTCTCACCTTGAAATGAAACGAAAAAACACAAAAGGTAACTAATTTTCAGCGTTAATAATAATAATTTCATTTCGTAATTAGTGGTCTTATTAATGTATGGAAAATATCCAGTCTTATTTTATACAAATCCAACTGATATTAAAATTTGTTCGACAGGAAAAAAGACACAAAATTGACGAGAGTGACCTTTTTTCTATCAGCTCTTTTTTTAAATGTGTCCAATTTCTCTAGTTGATCTGGTCTTTGGAACATTTGCGCAACTTGCACCAATGCTGCAGCATGTGCTTCCTTTTCGATTGCATCTATATCCATATTACATTTATTTTTCTGAAAACAATTAAGTTTTAAAGCATTTTTAAAAATCTCATTAAAAAAGATTTAATTATTTCTGGTAATAATATGTCGTTTTTTTCTCCTTTTTTCACGCTTTGATAAAATTAAATCTGAAACGAAAACGTACGGGACAAAAGGATAATTATTCCGTATCCATCAACAATTACTCTCATTGTCTCAGTTAATTTATCCTCTTATTCATCATCTTATTCAATATCATCATATGCATTGCACGTTAAACTTTTTTAAATTATAAATATAATTCATAATTAAACTTAAACATTAAACATTATGAAATAAAAATTCCTATAATTAGAAACTTTAAAATAAATATAATTAACACTCTCCATTATCCTTCAATCCGTGTAATATTTACAAAACACTAAGACTTTCTCTTCCTCTTTCTTTTATTTTATTTATCAAGCTAGAAATACAAAAGAAAATCATTGACGAACCATTATAATGCTTAACAAAAGAAACGAAAAATATGATTACCTATTACATTTTCTTATTAATATATTTACATAACGCTAATAATTTTTTTTTGATTGAAACATTATTTGCTTGCAAAATAAAACTTGAATTTCTACGGAATTTTTTTTTAAACCTATTAATTATATTCAAAATTTACTCTATTTGCACTATTTGATTGGAAATATGATAATTAGTTTACAATTATTTGTAAATTTAAAAGAAACAAAAAACAAACCAATTTTAATACTAACACAAATTCTAACATCGAAAAATAATTTTAGATATTTAATGATAAAATCTGATTGAAACTTGTAAACACTTAGTAAACTCAAAAAAAATGCTTTCTATTAGTTATGAATATATTAATTACTAATAGTTATGCATATTTAATATACTAGTCACCTCTCACGTACGTGGCAAATTACACGCTTACCATAGCACTAACTCTAATCAGACACGCACACCATTTAAAATTACCCACTAGCCTTACGTAACTAATAACACTCATTTAAATCTAGTAATCACTTTTCATGTCAATTTCTAGCTTCTCTCAAATTAACATATTCTCTTGAAGATCTTTGCAATCTTTAATTCTCCACACTTACTATTCTATTTTCTATTAGCTTAGCATTTTCACTTTTTGGTTATCGCTTTATCTTTGCGGATAGGTCACAGTATTCATTGATGGAGAAATCGAGTTTGAAAGCTATGAAATTCAGTTTTATATTCCATTTCCTATTTAATTACTTATTAGGTTTATATAAAAATTGAATTTATAAAATTTCATTTAACATATATTATCATTCCATCATATTACTTCTAAATATTTGTGCACTTTAATACGGTAAATATAACTGCAGAAATAAGAAGAAAAAAGTTTACTAATGTCAATGTTGAACTGGATCTAAATTTTGTGATTTTTTTAAATGATTTTGAAAGTAAATTTTAGGATGAAAAAGAAGAGAAAGAAAACTTATATGGAAAATAAATCGGAATGGTTGCTAAGGAAACGACAAGGTTTCCGACTTTTGAATCCGGTTAACTATCAATTGCCTACATGCTCTCATGGTGTTCTAAGTTTTACTTTCTCTTTATTAACTTTTAAGCGAATAGAAAAAGCAATTAAAAACTAATTTATTTGATAGACAAATAAGCATAAGTACGGTATAAGTGATGAGTACTTTTAAAGTTACTGCTTTTTGAAATTATTGGATGTATATTATGGGATGTCTTGAATGTCACATATGCAAAATGTTGTGTAATGGGTAATATAGGAAATATTTTGTGACACCCAGTTTTTTAAATTTTAATACTCCAATCAAATATGTTTTTAAATAGTTGTTTTTACGATTTTTTTTAAGTTTAATTAAAAGTATTTCGCTTGTTATTCCGAAAATTGCCATAATTATAATTTCAAAGCACTTTGTCATTTATTTATTTCAGGACCATGTTTACTATTTGAACGGAAAGGTAAAACAGGAGAAACAAAAGAAAAGTTCTTTGCTTGTGCTGTTTATCGATCTCAAAAACATTGTCCATTTCGACTGAATATAAGTTGCAAAATTATTTCCAATAATGTACTCAGCAATTTCGGCAGTTTGAATGTTGCCATGACATCGTTCTGTTATGCTGTTATACGAGAAAAGTGAACTTTCTTCTGAAAATATTACTTCTGAAAATTTCCAATTAAACTTTTTTAAATGAAGGATGTTTTGAAAATAATTATTTATTAGCTTATGATGCCTAAACGTTTTCACTTGCGTAAGACATTTATATAAACCGAAATGGTCCTTACATTAGTGCTGTACGATTTAATAATAAGTGATATTTAGTTATAATATAATTCACTTTTTAAAACTTATCAAATCTGTGATTTTCTTAAAATGAAATTCAAGGAAATAGATTTTTTTCAGATTAAAAAGTTTGTCAAACTTCTTTGCAATTTGGTAATTTACAGAGTGAATTTACTGAGAGCAAAGAATGAAAAGGTTTACTATTGCGCAACTTGCAATGATGTATTCTCATTGCCACATACTCATCCGATTATAGGACCACTTGGAATCTCTTCTTTAAGAAAACCTTCACAACTATTTTCTGCACATGTGAAGAATGATTCTGAAAGTGTAAGCTTATTTCATGGCTTTCTTTTTGATCATATTTTTCGATCTCTTTCATTTGTGTTTATTTTTATTTTTATTGCTATCCATTTCACACCATTGTCGATTGCTCTACGTTTGATGAAAGTTACAGTCACAACGGTATATTGCTTAATATTATTAGCTTTCAATTTATATTTTAGTAAATTCAATTTTTTATATTTTAATATATTACATTTCAATTTATATTCTAATATATAATAATACATTTTCCTTCTTATTCATCAAAGGGAGTAGTGGAGAATTCTTAAACAATGAAAAATTAAAAAATAATTTTGTAGTTAAAGTGGAAAAGAACAACTGTTAAATTTTTTTTTTTTCAGCAATATTGGTTTACGGATGAGTCATTGACAGTAATAGTAAATGCCCTTGAAAAGTCTGGCTGTGATGGAGTGTTATGCATCGGAACACCAACAGTATTCGAGCATTTTCAAAGTTGTAAATTACTTCGACAAAAAATAAAAACATTTTTGTTGGATATCGATGCTCGATTTGTGAGATTTCTTTTTAAAATTTCCTCTAAAATATGTAAATTCTTTATGCCAAATTTTCAGCAATATTCTCAAAGTTTTTGAATGAAAAAATGTCTTTTTTGTAGCAATACGATTTTCCACACTGCTGCAATAAATTTTTAGCATCATCAAAAATTTAACCAAATCATGTTGTTCTTGTTTTTTTCTTTCTTTTAGTACATATTATTTCTGAAATATTTCTAATGTTTTGAAATTTATTTTGGTAGCAAAAAATTACAGATGACAAATAGTGGCTTACCCTTTTATAGAAAAAGATTTTTCAGGTACCATTTTTTCGTTCCAGTCATTTCGCAGTATACAGTATGCTGACAAATCATTTTTACGACCCAATAAGCATCACAAAACTTATTTTATTTTTTGGATCAGTTCATCGTTTGGTGATAGTATGTGATCCTCCTTTCGGTGTTTTCATAGAAGCCTTGACAAATTCAATAGAGAAACTTCGAGAGCAGTTCTTCACTTCCACCACTGGCAAATTGAAGTAAGTTTGAAAATTTTGGCATCTTTCACTCGGACTTTTTTTTTCATTTTTAATTTTTATATTTCAGTAATAGTTGGTGCAAAAATATTATTGTTCTTCCAATTTTCACTGGAAGGCGTTTTCTAAATTGCAACGATTTCCAAATGTTGGATTACAGAGTTAGTTATTCATTATTTTCACAAAACTCTTCTTAACAAAACACCAACAATGTTCGAATTTTTTTAAAGTTTTCAAATCACAAATTGTTTCAACAAAAAATTTCTTTATTGATTATTTATTAAAGTATTTGTGTGTTTCATGTTTGCTAATTTCTCTTAATTTATCAACTATCATTCCAATATATTAATGTTATTAAGAATTGTTTCATATCCTAATTCTGCACGGCTTATAAGGTCTTTTTTATGTCCGTAGTGATGTTTAGGACACTGATAAAAGTAACACTACAGAAAAAATTCTCATAAGTTGAATTAGTCTTTATGTTGACAGTGATGTCTTGATTTTAAAAAGAGCTTCGAAAATTTCAGGTATGTTATAAAAATCACTCGAAATATAAGCGGCCAGAAAAGTCTATCGTTCGTATATTTACCGATCTTCCACTAAATGAATTCGACTTGTCAAAAGATCCTAGTTATAGGTCAGTGTTATTTCTAATTTGCTTATTCTTTCTTTAGAAATTTAGAATTTTTTTTCTCTTTTCTTTTTGAAATTTCTTCTGTTTTCTTTTATGCAACATAAAAATTCTTGATCAAAAAATTTAAGATTTTTTTTCAGCTTAAAATCTTCAAATTTTCAGGTTTTGTGATAAATGTGTAAAGTTTGTTATAAAAACTACTCTTCATTGCAATTTTTGCGAAACTTGTTCTTCCGATGTAATGCATTTTTTATTTAAATTAAGGTTTTCGCAATATTCATTTAATCAAGTATGTTAAATCATTTTTTTCCGCTCTACTAGCAAAATAAAATAGAGAAAATTGATTATTTCAATTATGATTTATTTTTCTACTCTTTCCTATTTTCATTTTTATTTGTAGGCTAACATTTGCGAACACTGTGATAAATGTGGTCAGTGTGTCAAAAGCACGTATAAGCACTGTTCATTGTGCAATCGTTGTCATCTGCCACAAAGATGTTCAAAAATTCACTGTGATGATCGTCGAAATTCTCGAATGTTCCTGAAGACAGCACTACGCAAATTAGAAAAAGCAAAAGAAAAGTGACATTGAATTATTTAATCATCGGTTACTTTTTTGCTAAGCCTTAATTGACTGATTGATGTTGAAGCGTATATAAGTAATGGAAAAAAAAACGACAATAAAAACACTTTCCTGCAATCTTCAGTATGCGTATGCAACTTGTTTTACGCTTTAACTTTTATTGCCTTTTTTATTCCGTAAACTTATTTCCTTTACAGTCCTAATTATCCTTTTCTTATTTATAAAGTTGAATATTACAAGTAGTTTTATTAATATTAATTTAAAAAAACGATGCGACATTTTTCATTTATTGTTTCGTAACTTTAAAAAAAAAATTGTGGAATTAGATAAATTAATTGTAGTTATTATTTGAAATTTCAAAAAGTACACTTCATCTTCGCTCTTCCTGATCTAATTTTTGAATAAAATAATGTGTAATCTTTGCTAACCATTTGTAAAATATAATTTAGGAAATCCATTATATAAAATTATTAGGTTTTGTTGAACAACCGGATTTGAAATTAAATTATCACATTTAATATGCAATATCCTATTTCGGTTAAACTTACTTTTTTTCTTTTATGATGGTTTTATTCAATGCAATATTCTTCCGTTATCATACTTTGTTGATATAACCAAATTCATTGCTAGTTTTTGTTGAAAATAAAATTTTTTAAAGTTTGTACAGAATGCATAAAGTACCTCATGTAAAAATTAGCTGCTATTCATTCATTATTGCATTGAAAAATGCAAAAGCTTCCCATATTAAAAAAAAAAAAAAAAAAAACTTTTTTCTTTGAAAAATGGAAATAACAGATTAAAATTGATCTTTGAAATGTTAAAATTGAAATTGCATTTATAATTACTAATCTTTTATTGATGTTATGTCTGACTTTTTTTTTCTATGCATAATGGAAATGTGGCAGTCGGTTTTATTCATTGATGACAATTTGCCGATGTCATATGTGCATATGTCATTTTAGTAGCAAACAAAGATGTCACACACAATTATTCTCTTCAGTAACTCCCACTCAGCTCAAATGAATGAATCATTCTAAAATTGCTTGATATGTGTGTGTGTGTGTGTGTGTGTGTATGTGTGTGTGTGTGTGTGTGTGTGTGTGTGTGTGTGTGTGTGTGTGTGTGTGTGTGTGTGTGTGTGTCAAATATGCATCTTTTAATTTCATTCAGTTATTTCGTCTTCATTGCGTTTTTCCATTCCTTTCTTTCAATTTTTTTGTTGGTTTGACTTTGTCAGCAAAATATTTCAAATTTTTTATTTATGCGTCTTTGTTTATGATATTAAAATTGAACGTATTTTTCAATTCCTTTTTTGTCTGAAATTTGATTTAATATTTTCACTAATTATTTGACTCATGCAATGGAGCTTGATTTGTAAACTTCAATTAATTCTATCATTGGGCAGAAGTAAACATTTCTTTAATTATTATAAAATTAATGATGATATTTTCTTAGCCTTTAAAAAAAGCATTTTCCTATTGACAATTTCACATATTTTAAAATTAATAATTTTTCTTTAGTTTGCTAATTCTTAATTCTCATAAATGAAATAAATCAAATGAGCAAACAAATTATTCGTATTATTTGTGATAAAATATTGGTAAATAAATTACAATAGAAAATAAATAAACGATCAAAATTGTAATATTATATTTTTTGCCTTTCCCCTGGAAAAAGCAATAAACAAAGTCCAAGTTGTAAAAAAGTATGTAGAAATTTTTGAACTGAAAAAGTAAATTAAAATTGAAATTGAAAAAAGGAAAAATAGTAAGTATTCGATAATTATTGTTTATTTTTTCTTTTTCTTTTTCAGCCAATTTCTTGTATGTTTTTACTTTAATTGTTTGAAAATTTTTATTAAGGTAATATTTTTTTTTAAAAAAAATAGAGGTATTAATCAGTTCTGAAAAAATTATGAAGTTTAAAAAATTCTTGCACAGTTGTGAATATTATTTAAATTTGTTTATTATATGTATTATTGAATATCGAAATTTTCAGGAAGAAACGAAAGTCATATATTATGATAATATCAATTACTTTCACTTTATCATTGTTATTATCATCATCATCATCATTCTTTATCGAAGCAGCAGTAATTCATTTTTTAATTCCAATATCATCTTTTCTTTTTTAACACTGAATATGTTTTATTCGGAACCAGATTGGAATACTGGATAACTGAATATTGAATATGAATAGACTGAAAAGGAGTCATTACAAATAATATTGTCTAGAATCATTATCAGTAAAATTTTCATATCCTAATTTTAACGATTATTATTACAATTTATTCATAATGTTTTTCTTTTTCACTTATTTTAAAATATTATTGAAGAATATTATGTAAAAATTTATTATTCAAATTATTTTCATAGAATTAGCGCAAATTAATTTTTATTAGAGGAAAAAAGAATACACTTGCATTTAATTTCAATATGTTTCATAAATTTTGAAATTATTTTTAGAAAGCATCTAACCAGTGTGGTTTACCGCCATTTGTTGATGATTTACCGAATAGCGAAAAGAAGGAAATTTTATCAATTTGGAAAGATTATAAATCAGGCGACGATTGCACTGATCAAAGACGCGAAACACAAGAAATTGTTAATTTTAATATTATTTCATTAAAATTTCTAAACAAAAATTTTCTTCTTTGTTTATATTTATGACTGAAAGAATTCTGCTGGACGAAAAGTTTGAATGAATCACTTTCAATTTATCCATTTGTTTTTATTTTATTGAAAAAAAAATTTTTTTAAAATATTCTTATTGAAATAACATAATAAATAATCGATATAATCAATTATTTTGATGAGTGACAAATTATGAAAAAATTTGTTCTGATAAATTTATGAAAAAAGAAACCTAAATAGCTTATCATTCTTAACACCAAAAAAAAAATTTTTTTTTATTAAATTTATTATTTTGAAAAAATTTTTGTAATTTTTTAATTTTAAAATGATCATTATTAAATAATTAATTAATTCATACAAATTTTATAGATTGATAATCTAACAAGTGATATACGAGCGGTGTTATTCGGTCGACCACCGTCGTTTCTCAAAGATGCGCCAATTAGTGTGAGAAAGATGTTTCGAGATATTATGCATAATCGAACATTAAAGCATGATGAGAAGAAACAAGAATTAAAGTTATTCTTTATTTTTTCTAATTTGAAAATTTTTTTGTCAAAAAAATTTTTAGAGGACAATTTAGTGACAATTAAAGTAAATGGACATTTAGTATTTGAGATTCAAAATGTTAGACATTCAACATTAATAAATAAAAATAATTAAGATAATAATGGACACTTATTACTGGCATTAGAAATAATAATGAGCATTTAATATTGGCATTAAAAATGGTGGACAAAAGGAAGTGATGGACATTTAATACTGAGATTAAAGGGAAAAGTGACAACTTAAAGACTTGTTGAATAAATAAATATGTAAATGACAAATGGAATACAAATTGATCATTAGCGCTTTTTATTATTGTTTAGTAGCGAATAATAAACTGAAAATGTTATAAATATAAAATGAAATAAGTGTGGAAAGAAGTAATTAAATTTAAAAAAAAGGCTGTTACATTTTCTTTGTAAATAATTAACTATATAAATTTTTTAAAAAAAAAGAGATTTAAATTTAAATGTTATTATTTTAGAATTTGAAATCATAATCAAACTTAGAATTTTTTGTTTCCTTTTTTTCCACCTTTTGTTTTCAAATAAAGTTAATTGTTTAGTAACTGATTTACTAAAATCCTCCTAAAAAAATTGAAATTTGAAATATTGAAATTTTACATCTCATTTAAAGTTATTTGAAATTTGCAGCAATCTGGCGGTACAAATTTTAAATCAAAAACAGCTTGCCGAATTTAGACGATATCTGGAGGAGCGTGAACATCAAAAGAAGGAATTTGAGAATAAGGTAAATTAAATATTTCATCATTTACTGTTTATTAATATTTCATTACTTGTTTATTGCCTTTAAATTATTTTTAAAAAATTAAACTGAACGTGAATTAATTTCTTCTTTTTCCTTCTTGATTTTATATCAATTAAAATTAATTGCTGTAATGAAAGAATAAAAGTAATTAGTATAGCCATGCTTAACTAAAATTGTATTGAAATTTTAATTCAAGTTAATAAACATTGCAATGAATTTATTATTATTATTATTATTATTATTATTATTATTATTATTATTATTATTATTATTATTATTATTATTATTATTATTATTATTATTATTATTATTATTATTATTATTATTATTATTATTATTATTATTATTATTATTATTATTATTATTATTATTATTATTATTATTATTATTATTATTATTATTATTATTATTATTATTATTATTATTATTATTATTATTATTATTATTATTATTATTATTATTATTATTATTATTATTATTATTATTATTATTATTATTATTATTATTATTATTATTATTATTATTATTATTATTATTATTATTATTATTATTATTATTATTATTATTATTATTATTATTATTATTATTATTATTATTATTATTATTATTATTATTATTATTATTATTATTATTATTATTATTATTATTATTATTATTATTATTATTATTATTATTATTATTATTATTATTATTATTATTATTATTATTATTATTATTATTATTATTATTATTATTATTATTATTATTATTATTATTATTATTATTATTATTATTATTATTATTATTATTATTATTATTATTATTATTATTATTATTATTATTATTATTATTATTATTATTATTATTATTATTATTATTATTATTATTATTATTATTATTATTATTATTATTATTATTATTATTATTATTATTATTATTATTATTATTATTATTATTATTATTATTATTATTATTATTATTATTATTATTATTATTATTATTATTATTATTATTATTATTATTATTATTATTATTATTATTATTATTATTATTATTACTATTATTATTATTGTTAAT